TGGTTTGCTGCACATTAGAGGTGATATCTTGTCTTCTCTTCTTTTTTCCTCTTAGTCCTTCTTTGATATAAAAGAGGACAAAGAGGAAAAAGGGGAAGGAGAAAGCATGTAGGCTTTAGGCTTGGCCTGGTTCATTCAAATTGATTTTCAGAACCGAGACAACATGCAAAAGGATTCTTAACTATGAAATCTCTCTGAATGCTATGTACCAGATTACTGGAAGACAGAAGTCTTTTAAAAGTCTATGAGATCATCCCAAACCAGGAAGCTATCTTCTCTGTATCACTGAAACTATAGTAAAGAATGAAACAAATGGCCACATTGTATATTATGGAAGACCAGATACTTTCTAAAAATTTCTTGCAAATCAGTCAGAATTATTTGAAAGCTTTTAGTATACTGATAAAAGCATATGGTTTCCATAAATACTGTATGTTGCAGCAAGTTCCTTGGTAATGTCTCTTAGAAATAACCCAGGAAGTAACGGAATGGGAGGAAATGGGCAGCAACATGTTAAGAAGTAACAAATGCAAAGGTAAGGAATAGCCACAGTTCATAATGATTAAAGATACATGATTAAATGCCTCTGTTTATCTCTCTGTTCGCCCTGTTTTTTTGTTTTCTTTGTTTTTGTTTTTCCATTCAGGATATGAAAATGGAGGAGCACAGTACAATAATGGCAACACTGATCCTGCAAAAACAACAACAAAACCACAAAGTATAAAAATACAGCCTAGAAATTAATTGCTCTGAATTCTAAGGCACATTTTCTTTCTTTCTTCCTATTATTTGTACCCACTTTGCAGGGAATGTAAGATGAGCAAAGAGAATGTGTCAGAAATGCTAGATATAATTATAATTATGCTTCTGTTCTGCTGGCGTAGACGTAGCTAATTTTTAAGCATATAACCTGTGTTACCTGATTTCTGCACGTGACTGCACATGACACAATAAAGATTTTGTGACTGAATTTGCTCCTAGCTCAATATTATAAAAACATCTGTGTATTAGAAATTCATGATACAAAGTACAGTAACTCTTAGCTTGTAAAGACAGCCAGTCTATTTCTTGCAATAAAACCTTGAAATAGTTGATATTTTTAAAGATGCATTAAGTTTTCTTGCTAAGCAAGGTAATACTGAGAATATAAGAAAGGTTGAAAAAGACACCACACAATCAAAATCTGAGACTTGATCGTAACTAATTTTGGTCAGAAGTATTCTCTCCTCTCAAGCATTCAGTCGTCCTGGTCTATTATACAGTGGTGCCTTGCAAGACGAATGCCTCGCAGGACAAAAACCTCACAAGACGAATGGTTTTGGTGATGGGGTTGATGACTCGCAAGACAAATGTTCCTATGGCCGTGCTTCGCAAGACGAATGTTTTCCGTTTTTTGTTCCTGCCTCATGTTTGCTTATTTTTAAATGTTTTTCTATGATGTTAAAAAAGTTAAAGTTTTTTGATTGAAATTTTTGAAATCATCTCCACAATATGTATGGCTTTAAAGAGCACTTAATAAACCCTTTGTAAACCAAATTTGACTTTGTTCTGACTTTTTTTGCCCATAGGAACGCTTTAATTAGATTTCAATGCATTCCTATGGGAAAACACATATTGCAAGATGAATTTTTCACAAGACAGCATTAACCACGGAACAAATTAAATTCGTCTTGCGAGGCACCACTGTACTTGAATTTAATACTTCTGGGAATAATCATATTTTGTTGGGCAGCTTGTCATTAGTTGGCTTGGTTCAGAACTTCCAACTATACCCTTTTTGCCTCTTTCCCCTTTAGGATACAGTACTTTCTTTCTTTATTCCAATCAGAGTGCTGCACAAATTAAAATGATGGATATACAGTATATGAAATATAGGTAACATTTAAAATAAATTAAAATGTTAAGATAATTAGACTAGTTTTGACCAGAAGCAGGCTACCTCAATAGCACTACTTGGGCCATTTGCTAGATCTTCTTTGGTACATGTGATGGGGCTTAAATTGCATGCACCTAAGTGCTACATTGACTGATTTTCTCCACAGTCATGGAAGAATTTTCTTATATTCTCAGATAATAAAATAATGGATGTCATCAAAGCCAAGATACTTAAAAACAATGCATAAATATAAATCTAGCAATGATTCCATGCTGGGTTTTTAAAAACTAATTTGCCAGGTCAAATAATATTATTTTGAATATAGGTAGCTTTAGCTTCCATACCTATGTTTATGTGGGGAAATCTCTATTTTAGGTTAAAATTAAATTTTTGAGTTAGTGAGAAGAACTGAGATTTAGGATAAATCCTTCTATAGTAAAGGATTCAGGTTTGTAGTCTAAGAGTTTAGTGCTGCTATGACTTTAAAACCTAGAGCCTCGTGGTGCAGTGGTTAAACCGCTGTACTGCAGCTAAACTGTGCTCACGACCTGGGGTTCAAATCCCAGGTAGCCGGCTCAAGGTTGACTCAGCCTTCTATCCTTCTGAGGTCGGTAAAATGAGTACCCAGCTTGCTGGGGGGGCAATGTGTAGCCTGCATAATTAAATTGTAAACCGCCCAGAAAGTGCTTGAAGCGCTATGGGGCGGTATATAAGCAGCACGCTTTGCTTTGCTTTGCTTTAGGTTCTTAACCTTTGTTACTCGGATGTTTTTGAACTGCAACTCCCAGAAACCCCAGCCAGCACAGTTGGTGGGAGTTGCAGTCCAAAACTCCTGAGTAAGCCAAGGTTAAGAACCAGTGCTTTAAAATACAGGATGTTCTCATCAAGTGACAAGCGTGAGCTACATCTGATAAAACTAACCAGAAGATGTTGGCCTATATAACCTTGCCAGGTGCAATGTTAAAAATAGTGTTCTTTGCAGATCTGGGCTCAACGCGTAGAAGTAACAGAAACAACCCCTTTCACTTCTCCTGTGGAAGTGATTATAATTAGCTTTCACACAACTCCAAAGTATTTTTAAGCTGGCGAGATGGTTACACCTTTACTATATTTTATAGGATTTCTAAAACCAACTTTAGTGTAAAGAGGAAGAAATCTATGTACAGATGCTTTTCATGGATTTGTTTACAGAAGCAAGATAGTTCATTACATTCTTAGACTTTATGTAAGAGGAGACATAGCTTGATATGGCTCTCCACTAATGGCTCTCCACATGACAAATCAGTATTTATCTTTGTCTATTTTCAAAAACAGTGAATATCTGGTCCGTGCATATGAGCTGGAGAAGGATAGGATAGCCATTTGTTATTGACTCCTTCCCCTTTTAAAAAGCAGCTTGACTGGACAAGCATCCCAGCTTAAAAACAGGTGTGCAGCCTCCAAAGATTCAAAACTACCAAGGCAGAAATCATAGAAAAAGAAAGGCAGGTGGGCTTTCTGTTAGCCATGAAACGAGATCTAGTTAGAAACTGGCTGTGTATTAATATGAAGCCAATTCAAAATTATATCTATTTTTAAAAAGTTTTCCTGAAAAAAAATCAAACAGGGGGTTCACAACCACAAGCACTTATACAATCACCTTCCACAGCTGTCACAATGGCAATTACTATGTATTCTGCTTAGGGGACAAGAAACAAAATATTCTGGTTTGTCATTCTTGCAAAAGAAATGCAATAATTGATGTTCGGTATTTTAAATAAATTAACAACAGTAAATAAAACTGAGATAAGAAGTACATTTTTTTCATATCAATGTCTAATCCCAACTAGAGGGGGCCCACTGAATCAACTGGAAGTCAACAGTTAATATAAGTCCCAATGATTCTACCTGGGACCAACAACAGGATTCAACCCTCTGTGTGCAGCTTATGCACATTTATTACGTGACATAAGAGAGCTGGCTGAAATTCTCAGAATTTGAATTACTGAACTAACCTTGACCATGAGAAGGCTAGCAGCAAGGGAGAGTGACAAAGGATGATCTGTCATGTGAGTTGGAGCCTATTAAACCACAAAGTACTGTTATGGTATCCTTTCTACTCTAGAATTTGCCACCAATCTAAACCTACAGGTTCTTTGGGATTCTACGAGCTTATCTATATTCCTGTACACCATTTGACCAACTCTCACCTCCTTAAAACAAACAAAACCCAAAACTACTACTTGCAAGAAAGTAATTAAATAAAAGCTACATTGTCCAAAGAAATTTAAGCTCACATAGATTGCCCTGATAGAACCAGTGCAGCAGATTTTCTCTGTATTGTATTCAAGACTGCAAAACATGGCATCATGGAGAATTAAAGTTTAAAGCAATAATTTGTAGAGTTTCCTACCAGTTTTTCTTAACAGGGCTCCTGTGCCTTTATGATTTTGGGGGGAGTGGGTGGGGAAGAAGGCTTTTAGAAATTCAACAGTAGTAATACTTGACCACCCTCCCCCCCATGACAATAAAAACCTTCACCTGCTGGATTTCCACATATATGGTGAAAGAAGGCACAAGAAGCCCTCTTGGGGGGGGGGGGAAGCAAAGGAAATTCTATGTGAAACCATGAATGAATTGTGAGAAGTTGAGGTCAGCAACAATGGCAGCTCTAAAAGCATACAGCTTCAAACATTCCAGCCAAAGAATGAATCTTAGGTCTTAGCAGCAGTGTCTGTATACACTGTAAAGTTTCACACAGAATTTCTATATTCCTTCTCAAAGTGTTTTGCTTCAGTCTGAAGAACTCTGGGCAAACAATGTGTGCATTCGTTAAAAGGCAGCTTCAAAAATAAATTAAATTATGTGGTCTCTTGGACACCACAGACTCCTGGAATCAAATCAGATTTACTTAGGATTTCAAATTCTGTAAGAAAAGGGGCAAGAGAAGAGCATTTCATCTGAAAATTTAAAAAGAACCTGTGCCCATAATTACCCATTGCCCAAAGAGCAACTTACATGCAAGGAAATGGGTTCAGATAGTTATTTGAGTTGTTTTAGTTTGAGCCACATTTACTTGCATCATGTTCCAAAACAACACACAGATAATTAAAGACAGAAAGAGAGAACAGTTTTTGTTGTTTACCTCTCTGTTGTGCAGGTGTGGGATGTTCTTGGGAAATATTTGCTCCCCCATCCCCTTCCTTTTTCTAGCTGCTCTCTGTCTGTTTTGTCTGTCTGTCTGTACAGTGCCTCTGATAAAGAAAAGAAGAAGAACACACACTGCTTGGAAGTATTTAATATCCAAGGCTCGGCTCAGCTTAGAACTGTCAAGAGTCCTATGTGGCCTGCACTAGAGAACAAGGAAGGAGGGGAGGGTGGGGAAGAGGAAGGGAGGGTGGGGAGAGCAGAAGGGGGAGGCAAAGCAATCAGGGTTTAAATTTAGACATGAATCTAAACAGATACCGCCTTTCCCAGAGTGCAGAGCTCAAAAAGAAAGAGCATGCTAACTCTCTTATGTGCCTGTTTACTTCCTTCCTTCTCTCTAGTCTGATTTCTCAATTTTCTCCTTCTTCTTTTTCTTAACAGTATTTTTTTTTCTGGTGAGGGTTTTAGCTCTGGTACTTTTCCATAATTTTTTAAAAAATGATTTGCTATCTCTAGTTGAGTTAGTAGAAAGGAGATTTGGGGACTGCTAAGCATGCAGATCTTCCCATGTTCCATCTCTGGCTTCCCCGGGTAAGGCAGAAGAATGTTTTATCTCAAACTTTGGAAAGCCACTGTCAGCAATGCAGAGATAGACGTACAGATGGCATGACCATAGCAGTAATTACTGGTAAATCTGGAAGCCTAGGTAGTCATCATGGCACTTCTTATAGTCGGTCTCCCTCTCCCATCCACCCCAATTCTGAAAAAAAAAACCTCAGGCAGCTGGATTGGACTATAACAGCAAACAATGAGCAGGACAGTTGTAAAGCTAGTGACTTTTAATTGCCCCTTTGAGATGAAACCACCCTCAAATACTTTGCATTATAACAGGGCTACCCTGAAGCAATATACTATCCCTGGGAAAATCAATTTATTTCCCAGCTACGGTGAGAACTGCAGCTCAAATCAGAGGGAACAGGGAATGAGTGAGATGGTGGATGATGTCATCATCCCAACTAATCATAAAGTCATGGGCTTTGACTCTATGAGAGCTGATTCCATGGCACCTCTGCTCCACACAAAACAGATTCTTATGAGATCATTTTCATGGGAGTAGATACAGCAATGTCAAATTCACAAACTGATAGGTGAAAGACAAGACATTGGACATGTTGCTTTTTGTCTCTCATCTTTCACATTTGAGAAACATTTTAGCTATGTGTAGGGGGGAAATCCCAAATTTAAAGATTAAAATATCGCCTGACTTTTAGAAGCGGCTCCTCTCGGCATTCTCACCAAAGGATTTCAGTGACATTTAATCTTTCCGTCAGGGTCACATTAGAGTTAAAAATAATAATAGGGACACATGCCAAACTAGTGTTTATTTTAATTGCACCTCTGCTAAGTGTTACTTCAGTTACTGACATCATAGTGTTGGGTCAGGAACAAGTTGGAAAGAAAAAAGTTTAGAAAAAGGTTTCTTTTGTTCACCGTAGCTTTTCATTTTCCCACTGTAGTAAGGAAATGACGCAACCACTTGGATTTTCCCTTATCCTAATTTTAGCCTAGAATGAAAGAGAAAAACGATTTATTAATTAAGAGGTTTTTTTCTAAAGGCCATTAGCACTGCACTGCAGCCTTTGCACTGTTGAAGTGCTGATTGTAATGGCAGCCTGAAAGTCCACTTGTGCCGGTTCAATACAAGGAAGCTTCCCTTGGCTAGAAGGCAAACACCCTACACGGGGATACTGGGCCTCAAGGTGTTGGACTCCAATTCCCATCAGCCTGGCCAATAGAGAGGGATGATGATAGCAGTATGTCAATGCCTAGAAAGGCATCTGTTCCGTATCTCAGCATTACTGGAATTCTGTCTCAGCTTTTTTTTAAAACACGGTATAGTTTTTCTTGCTTCAGACAGAGGCTATGGGACGAATAAATCCATACTGTTGCAACTTGGAACAGCTATTACTACGGTAAGAGATCTGTGACTGGGAACAGTGTGGCTTCAATTATGGTATCGCTCAATTTGGATTAACCTTCTTCTGCACAGATATACCAAACAGCATGGCAGAATTTGCTGTGTGAAACAGCTGTTTTTGTTTCAGGTGGCAATTTTACTTGGAGTAAGCCTCATTGAATTCTGTGGGATTCACATCTGAGTAGATCCATAAAGAACTCACTGTTACCTGGCTTGCTCTAAGACATGGAGCTAACCCCTCTAGCACATTACTAGGATGCCCAAATAAAAAAAGAAGAAAGGATACCTGTACCTTCAATAATGTTGTAGAAAAATTTATTTCATCAACTATGGCTTATGTGAAGAGCTACACCTGTGGAAATTTCCTTCTCTAAAAAACCATTAAAGGTACAGATACTCAGGCTTCAATTACATCCTGCATAAAAACTGGGTGGAATGCAAAGCAATTTTTGTTGTTTCACATGGTGCAGGCCCTGCTGTGCTTCAAAATGGCACCCAATATGCACTATTTTAAACTGCAGCTGGGCTTCCTCTGTGGTCAGCCAGACCAAGAGTGTCCTTCCTTCTCCATAGGTCTTGCTTGTCCAGTGGATGGCTGGACAGCAGCAGTCTGGGATCGCAGCAGCGGCAGCAGTGGTAGTAGAGGCAGCATCTGACAACCAGGGAGACACCTATGGCTGTCGTCAGTGTGCTCCTCAGCTGCCACTACCATCCAAATGTCTGCCAGGCAAACGAGCCCTGCAGAGGAGGAAGGGCAGCAGAGCCCCCACCTGCTCAAAATGCAGTGAAAATACAGCCTGTGGAGTAGACCCTCCCCCCCCCCCGGAACAACGTGTCTGACCGGCCAGTGCTGGGAAGCTTCCTGGCTACCCCAGCACGGACCAGCTGGTCAGAGGGGTGGGGGAGGAAGCAGCCTCCACAGTTCTGTTTTCAGCACATCAAGTGAGCTGAAGTGTCCCAAGCACTGACTGTTTAGCAGTTGGAACTACAGAACATGTCCTGCTGTAATGTGAAGAATCACCTTAGAACAGGATGCATGTCTGAAACAATTTTGTTCCTGTTTGCAGATAACCTACAGATTAAAAAATTTACACTAGATTATTTGGAAATGTGTAATTCCTGCCCCTGTCCTCTTTTTCACACAGCCACCCTGCACAGTACTGTCTGCTCTGACTGGCATGGGAGTATGGTTCATCCCACACGGCAGGGACAGCATTGTGGGAAAGAAGGTGGCCTGAAGTAGGTGCAGTGCAGAAAAGGCCATGCAGGGAAACTGTCAAAAGCTCACAGGTTTTGACAAGAATCTTTGTTCAAGTCAATCAGTATCATACATTGTTAAACAGGTTATTAACTGTGTGAATAAAATTTACATGCTAATTTATTAAAATGTAAACAGAAGCCAGGGGATGCAAGCAGCAGTGAGGGAGGTCCAGCTGCAGGCCTTCCAACTAGGTCTTCTCAAAAACCTGGTATTTGCATTGAGACGGAAACCTCTGCTGGACTGTGTCTGATTTAAAGTCAAAGCAGTCTCTGATGTTACAGTTTCAGTTTCTGGAAGTCCACAGCAAAAAAAAAAAAAAAAAGTAATTTACGGGAAGAGGGCCACCCTGTTCTGCAGAAGGGTACATCACAAGCTACCCTTACAATGACAGCGAAAGGCTGAAGGTGAAAAGGCCACATATCTCTTTCCCCGCCATGTTGTAACTTCCAGCTATAGTTTCCCATTGCTGCTTTTTATTACACAAAAGCAATGGGGGGGGGGAGAGAGATAGGCATGTTATGCTTAAGTCTTAAGTGCTTCCCACATATGGCACGTCTTCATTCCCCAGACTGTTATCCATACAAGAGGGAAACGACATTCAGGGCATCTGCAACAGGAGCAGTATCAGACTGTGAAGGCAGGACACTATCTCTTTCTGGCAGTCACTGTGGCCAACCCTCTCCCTGAATTATAATGCAGACAACAAAGAAGTTGAAACAATAACTTATGAATGAAGACATTAATACCTCAACTGTTTACCACAGATTTCAGTTATATTTGTTTTTAGTTAACATGTTCACAGTCAGTTATAGCAGCATTAGTACCTTCAGAGGCAAACTTTCTCAGTTAAGTCTTATGTGATAATTTCAGAATCTTGTGAATAAGCACTAATACTACATTTTAGACTACCCCAAGCCATGATCCTATGCATGGGTACCTAATAGCAAGTCCCATGAAGGCCTGTGGGATTTACCTCAGTGTAATTTCCAGAAGGGACGTGGTGGCTCTGTGGGCTAAACCGCAGAAGCCTTTGTGTGCTGCAGGGTCAGAAGACCAGCAGTCGTAAGATCAAATCCACGTGAGGGAGTGAGCTCCTGTCGCTTTGTCCCAGCTCCTGCCAACCTAGCAGTTCGAAAGCATGTAAATGCGAGTAGATAAATAAGTACCACCTCGGTGGGAAGGTAAACAGCATTCCGTGTATAGCCACGCTGGCCACTTGACAATGGAAACTGTCTTTGGACAAACACTGGTTCTACGGCTTGGAAACGGGGATGGGCACCGCCCCTTAGAGTCGAACATGAGTGACTAAAATGTCAAGGGGAATATTTACCTTTACCTAATTTCCAGAAAGGGAGCTGTGCTTGACCATTTCAGAAGAACAACAAAAGCATTGTAGCACCTATGATAGTAACATGTTTATTCCAGTGTAACTTTTCCTGCATTACAGTCAGTATTGTACTCCAGTAGTACTGGAACCCATGCATTTGAAGATATGGATTATAATCCAGGAAAGTTCATACTGAAATAAATGTGTAACAAAATACTTTTGTTTTCATTTCTGAGTAGACATACATTGGATTTCTATGCATATCATTTTAAATGTAGATTAACATTTCTCTGTTGGACCGGTGTGGACTTGTTAGTTCCCTTTGTTTTGTAACAAACCACATGAAACACAGAGTTGTTGATTGCATTTCCTTTCAGTCTGTATCCAAAACCGGCAGATGTTTTACATTCTGCCTGAAACCCCTTCCAACAATTAAAAAAAAAAAGAACCAAGAATTGAAGTTGACTGTTTTTAAGGAGGATTCACAGTGGCTGTGATCCAGTTATAAATTGCAACTGGAGTAGGCTCATCAGTGGGGATTTGTAAGTCAGTACCTATGGAAGTTAAATGAACCTCCTCTTGCAACTGCTACTGGATTTTAGCCATTGTCAGCCAAATCAAGACATCACCAGATCCGATTAAGCACTAGTAGGGCCTGCAACAAAATATGACAGTGTGTCCTCCTAACCA